TCACATAAGACACTGATCAGACGTGAATATGAGTTTTTCCTCAAAAAAAGTGCACTTTATACTGCAAAACATCAGGGTTTCTGGCGCAAAAGTAACAAATCCACCTACGTCAAGACGCGTACGTACGGTACCAACTAGGGGTGTTTGATCCAAGCCAACAGATACAGTTTGAAAGCGCCTTCACAACTCAGAAATTGCTCTGGTTAAAGTATTATCAGACAGCACATGGAAGTGACTAAAGGAGACAACTGGAAGGAAGTCACTTTGTGAAAAGTATGTACAAATTAATTGCCGGCAGTTTCGTTCTCTGCACTGTGGGATGAAATCTGAAAACCGTTAATTGAAAAACAAAAAACAACCACCCCACACAAGTGTCCTTTCTACGCCTAAACACACCGGTTTCCAGTCAGCTTTCGAACGCTACCACTCGCTCTCGAAGCAGCTGAGTGTCTGAGCATCAGCTGCGTGGTTAGAGAGTCAGAAACACTCCAGAAGATAAAAAAGACGCGTGAGTCACAGCAAGATAAACCGTGAAATACCACGGTCAGACCATAATCGCTGCTTTAGCCCAGCGCTGGCTCTGGTGTTAGTGGGGAATTACCAACCCAGCTCGCTCACACCGGTTTCCTATTTTTTGGTTTGAAGCAGCTCCTCCTACCGCCGCTCCCGGCGCACGTTTCGTAAGCCAGCTCGCACGCGAATCACGCGCTCAACCGAACGAAGATTGTTGGAGTACCGGAGGAAACTTCAGCGGACCATAACTTTTTTTAGCCTTTTCATTAACAAAACCCAACAGCACTGGGAGTCTGTGCTGCCCGTTCGCGAGCCTGCAGGCCTGGAAGCTCCTGGTTTTTCGTTCCAGGCGCGGCACTGCGTGACAGCAGCCCAGAACAATCCCCTTTGGCAGCTGACTGAGGCACTGGAAGGTTAAATATCGCCTGCACGACCCGCAGAACGGCGAGAGACACAGCGGAGCTCAGGTGCTACATCTAAGCGTGACCGTCCAGGTACGGGAATACACGCAGCAGTTTCCTCCCTGACTTACCCCAGGCCAACGCCGCCTCCGCTCCTGCAAGGAGTCAGCCAGGGAGCTTTTCTCCCCGATTTACTCCGGGCGCCTTGCCTTTGAACTTCCCTCCTCCTCGGGGTGAAAGCAGAGCAACCGGTTCGTTTTTACGGTCTTAAACTTTTGAACACCCCCAGGCAGGGGCCTCCTGGAAGCTCAGCGGTTCTTGGCCGCAGTCTCGTGTCACAACCACACTCCACACCTCTAACCATCTTCATGACTTTTTCATCCTTTCCCACTACCACCACCTTTAGGAGGAAGCCATCAGGTTGGGGAACGCTCCAGATAATAACTGGCAACTGCTCCATGTGATCTCATGGATTTTGACACCTCTTCCAAAAAGCTGCCAAAAAAAAAAAAAAGTCACAAAGAGCTCCTGTCCAACGGGAGCTCACCTCCAGCCACACCACAGAATATCTCCAAAGGGACCCATAAGGATCATCAAGTCCCCCACGAGTCTTTAAGGTAAAGGAACTTTCAAGCTCACAGTTTCTTTTCGCTGTGTTTTCTAAAGCAGATGACCACGGTTCATTCAAAGGAAGTATCTCCCCACATCGCAGTCACCAAATTACGGAGTTTACGAGTATCTGGAGCTCCTCAAAATCCTCCACAGCATTTAATAACTGAAACAATTAAATCACCACCACCAAACTTCACCAACGCATTAGCCAGCTCCTCCTCCGAGCTGCTGGCAAGCAGATAAAATGACATCAGACCCGATACAGCGGAACCTCCCTAATTCTCTCTTCCACACAAAATACTCTCACCCCCGTTTCTCCGTGAAGCGTATCCCCAGAGAGAGTTTTGCAGTCACAGGATTCTAAAACTTCACCAGCTTTTACGTTTCACAAATTGCAGGCACAGTAATTCGCACTAAACCTGAACTTCCTACGCTTACTCACTAGCACACAATTATTTTGTGGTTGGCAACAGGTCTCCCAGTCAGTGCAAATCAGCAAATTCTATTTATTGATGATCTGGAAGAGAAAGCAGATAGGAAGCATTACACAAAACATCAGCTTTTTGAAGCTCTGCATCAGTCTGACGTCCTATTTCCAAAGAAAATATGCACCTATAGCAAAGGCATTATGAATTAATTAACTTAACAACAACAACAAAAAGCTTTCAGAAAAACCCCAAAGTATTTAATTTAGGTCAGATTAAATAAAATTAGTTTCATGCCATTTTTCAAAGTCTCACTATACAAAACTTCTCTACCACCAAGACACCCTCGACAAATACAATCTCTGAGGACTAAGTCTCAAAAAACCCCCCGAAAAGATTATAAAATAAATCGTATTTTCTAAGAAACTGATCACATGGAAGCTCCACCAAAAAAAAAAACCCAACAGACTACGAGGAAACGCACGGCTCGAAAGGAAACGATTCCCAGCAGGGAGGTGGTTAACACTGACACGCCGGAGGTCGCCCACTGCAGTCCTTGGACGAGCAGCAACGGGCACAGAAACTGGCTCAGGATTTTCCCCTCGAGCAGCAGAGCGCTCCCAAGGAAGAACATCCGCGGGCGTCGAGCAGGACAGAACCCCGCTCTGCCCTCCCTGCCCATGGAGCAGGAGCCTCCCCTCCTCAGGGCTCTCCAAGGCCGCCCGCTCGGGCGCCAAACCCTCCGGCAGCCCCGGACGGACAAGGGCACGTCTCGCTCGGGGACGGTCACCCGCATCGGAGCCCGACCAGCC